GCTGTTATAAAGCGTAACCAGGAAGAATATTCCCCTCAGTGTTGATCACTACATGTCTTTGCTAAGTAACCATGTGTGAAATAAACAATTTGAACTCTGACCCCACAATAAAGTGCAGAAAACATAACAAAACAATGACACAGTAGAGAACTTCATTTGAGGTTAAAGGTCATACAGGGACAAAGATCAATACATTTATACTTAAGCACAGTACATGTATATTCCAATCAGGATTTATGGAACCTCACAGGGAATCTGAGCTGTTCATTTTAATGCAATTTCAATAAAATGAATCTGAAAAGATTTTATTGCTTAAAGTTTTGCCATTTTGTGATTTGAAAATGAACAAAAAATACATATCATTGAGGTTCATGATTCAAAACCAGTTTGGGTACCCCAATTGTTTTTTTTTTATTTAAAATACCCAATTACAGAAAATAACTTTCAGGCAATAAATGTTCAAAATAGTTGTTTTAGTCGAGACCAATCTTAAAAACCCATTAAATCATGTACTGCAATAATAATTTCCCCAAAAATTCAAGTCATGTGAAATTAAAATGGTTCACAGCATTTTAATCCATCCACAAAAAACTTTTTTGGAAAATAATCCATCAGCAAACTTTTCAGTTGCAGTTTACTACAAATGACCGAGTAATTGCTCATTTGAATATTACACATACATATTATTAGATACTTATCTATACAAAAAACAAGCATGTAGCAGGTTTTGATACATTTGATACTGATGCAAAAATACACAATGGAATTGCTAAAAACTTATTATTATGCAAAATATCTAATTAATATGCATGGGTTAATTAGAAGCTGTTATTAGATACTTATCTATACAAACAACAATCTTGTATCAGGTTTTGATACATTTGATACTGATTGCAAAAATACACAATGAAATTGCTAAAAACTTATATTATGCAAAGTATCTAATTAATATGCATGAGTTAATGTAATCAGGTATGGTGAATATAATAGTAGTTATTATACCTAGTTTCATTTCAATCCAGCAGATAGTTATTGAGATAGCAGTGCAGGCACAAGAAATGATATACACACGCACACACACACACACACATCGACAGACAGACAGACATACATAGACAGACAGATAGACAGCCTCCTGCATGCAAATGGTCCATTACCAAACATCACACAGATTAAAATGGCTTGCAGTAATCTTATCACAATTAATTATGTACTATACAATATGTATAGTAATAAATTGAATTCTTAATGCTATCTTTTGAATGATGCAATAACACATTTACTCCAGCATGCTGCATGCATACACAGTGGAATTACATTCAACTGTGAAGTGAACATGTGATGCAGCTTTTACTAATAACTTTGAACACTGCTTTATATTTGTTAAATTTAATGTATTAGAATAGGGTTTGATTTTAATCTGATCTCTTACCCAGGTTCCATTTGTCCCTTTTCTGCTGCCTCATGTTGTTTTTGTAATTTCTCTAGGTCTTCTTTCAGAGCAGTGCTTTGACTCTGAAGTGTTTTCTGCAACTGTGAGAGAACAAGACATTATAAAACACTCAACTAATGCTAATTAAAGTTATATTGATCAACCCGATACAATTAAAGACCATGAAATGCCCTGCCAATTCCATACACAGCTAAAATGTTCTTTTTTGGAACTAAATGAATTTATGCTGGGTTCAATGCTAGAATGTTAAGACTATGCATAAGCAAACATCATTTTGATTTGTAATTAATGTTTCAGCTTATTGATCATAAATATATGTGATGCAACATTTAGTACCACAAAGATCATTTGGCCTCTGTATTGGTTTACAAAGTATTGGAAAACAAATCATAGCTCAGTGTCTGTTACAGATGTACCATACATGTACCATGTATGTACCATTGGTTAGAGGTGACATAATAAAATGAAATACTGTAGAATACTTTATTTTCGCTATTTTCACTGAAGGGATGATTCCGTGAAAATAAAATCCAGTGAATATACTTTTTTTCCTATATTTCACATTAAACTCATGAAAAAATCAGTGAAAATAAATTCCAAGCAAAACGCCCAAAAAGCCTTTTCAGCGAAAATTAATTCCAGCGAAAATAAAGTATTCCACAGTAAGAAAGAAGGAGAAATCACTTTTAGAAATTAAATAAAGAGCATTTCATATTTGAACAATCATAGCCTGATGGTATTAAAAAAAATAATAAACCTATTATATATTTATTTTTTCCAAACAAATTGTGTGAACTATTTACAATTTGGAGTGGCGGGTGTTCATCTGATCAATATTGAAGATATTTCTTTTAACACAAAAGCTGACCGTGATAAAAAACGTAAACTGATTAGTTTAAAAAAAAAACAAAAAATCAAATGTCATCTTATGTTTTGATCATATTACAGAACCCTGGGCGAATTACCTGTATTGAACCCTTAAGCCAAGAACACTTATTATGCAAACTGCCACGTTCAAATGAGGAAATTACTAGAAATAATTGATAATTCTGAAAAAGAAAACAACGTCAGATTTGATT